TATTGGAGGTGTCAAGTAGCTTTGGCACTCATTCCTATATATTGTACTGTAGGTCAACACTCATTCAATTTATATCCGTACCTTCCAACTCTCCAATGCTCTCAAATGTACCAGGCAGATTCCGTTTGCTTGAAAGCTATCAAATGTGGTGGTTTGTTTATGCTCCTCAGAAGCCCACACTCCTTGGACCTTCCCATATCTTCAAGACGTTGATATCTTAGTGAGTGAAGAGCTAGTTTGAGCCTTAGAGGAGTCTTTGCACGCTGCACTTCACATCAGCTGCCTTGACAACGTTGCATACCATGTTAGTACTAAAAAACGTGACAACATGATTGAAGTGCATGCTGCTTTCATCGTTATTCATAGTATGCAGGATCTTCCTTTAATTCGTGCTGCATGCATAGGTCTGTGGCCAATTCATGGTCAGTCAAAGACTGTTCGATAGAGCTCCAGGAAGCTCGCTGGGTTTTCACGCTGCCCCGGTGATTTTTTTGGACATATCTTGGTTTGCTTCTGGATCAGTAGATCAAACAGCTTGCAGTTGAAGCGAAGGGTTTCACACATTTCAATGGAATTCGAAGCCCAGACCTCTGTGGGACAGCACGCGGGCTTGCATGTCGGTGTGTTCAACGCTATGCGCCGCAGTCCCTGTGAGCAGGGACTTCCACAACTTCCCGGTTTCAGTTTCGGCCAGGTGCTCCGGGCTTCTGGTTTCGGGATAGAACGGGTGAAAGGATGAAAAGGGGTCTTTGGGCTTCACTGATTGGAGTCTGAGCTTCAGGTGCAGTTCTTGTATGTCCTTGTAACTCAGCGTGTGCAGTCCTTGTTTGATCACAAGACTCTTTCCCTCCATCTCTACATCTACAGAAAGAACTGTGTGCACGCGCAAACCTTTTGAGAGACGGAAGATCCTCCCAAAGAAAAGCACGGCCCATGCCAGGTCTTTTGTGCAAGCAATCCACCAGGCCAAAAGCATCCTCCGCAAACCCCACCTTCCGACTCATCTCTGGACCTCTGAGGATTCCGCGGTGGGTTCTCAGCATTCCTTCTCACACAACCACACACAGACACGCGCCGACAGATTGCTCTCTAGTCTTCGGGAGCCCTGGACCAGGTATTTGCCGAACAAAGCGTTGGAAAAGTCAGTCCCTTGTCGGATTCCTTTGAGCCTTTCATCCGCGGGTGAGACTTGAGGCAGTTTGCTGCTTCAAGTCGTGTGCAAAGAACAAAGAACGAGGTGGTGTAGAGGGGCCTGACATGGCTGCGGAACTGCGTATAAGTGGAACAGATGGGAGCAAAATCGAGACTTGCCAAAAAGGTCCCTCTCTGTTTCTAGAACACGTTTGACGATTGAGGTGCCTGCCTGAACACCAGGTGCCCTGATCAGATAGTATGGCCTGTGGTGTGGCCCAAGATTCCCAGCGAATCTGATGGCAATGGAAACCATTGCCGGTTAACGGTGTCAACGCTTCAAGCGTTCCTGCTCGCCAAAAACAGGGCCGTTCGTTGCCAAGCGGGGGCTGGAGAAACTGGAAGGACATAGAAGGACAATTTTTATTTCTTTTTTCACCATGAAGCGAACAGTCTTCAGCGTTCGGTGCTTTTCGATCGCCCTCTGGGATTTTGTCCCGTCCGTTTGTCTCCCGTTTGTTTAGAGTCGCGGATCAATTTGGTTGACTGGGCTTGTGCCGAAGGTGTTCACATTCCATTACCCACCACTTGGCAAGTTAAACTTCCACTTCATCACATGCTGGCGTCACCGTCACACACGTTTGTAGGTTGGAGGCCATCGCCATTAGGTTGGAGCACGCGAGAGCACGCGCATGCTGAGGTCCCTGAAACCTGCGCCGGGCGGCCGTGGGGAGTTTGCCAGGAACCCAGTGAGTGGTGGGTGGTTCGGGTGGCTGATGAAGATGGGGGGAGATTGGGGTAAACTGAACTACAGCAGAAGAAGTTTTGGCTGATTCCCTGCTTCTACTGGTGTTCGGCTTTTCTGCGAAGCATTCTATAGAGTACAGAGGTGAGCTGTTCTGTCATATTCTTCTTGTGGAAGCTTGGAGAAACTCCCAAACTGAAGAACCTGCTATTGCTCTTGTGAGGGGTTAGAAAGGGATGGCGTTTGATCCAAAGACAAGACACCCAATCTGGCCTGGCTTGCTTGTTTTCTTCATTGTGAGTTTGAGAGTATTGTTCAGTCAGGGGTTGCTCTCTGGAAAGGTGGAACGCCTGACACAACGGCCAAGGAGATCCACTTGCTTGAGCCAGCACGGCCGGTTGTGGCTGAGCGAGCCCCGCTCCCAGAAGCGGTTTGGGATGGGTTGACGGGTTGATGTCCAGACGAAATGATTTCTGTTCACGGGTCTCATGAGCACGGACGAGTTCTTTTTCTTTCCTTTTTTCTGCGGGCGGGGGGCACCGGCGAACGGACCCCCGGCACTCTGCCAGGTCCAGCTGCTTCAATCCTGTCTGAGGCCGGGAAAGAGGTGGATGGAGGGTGGGATCGACTGAAACAAGACGAAACGCGTATATCAGTACATCAGTATATATATATATATATACACACACACACACACCTCCGACTCCACATGATCAGTTTATGGCGAATTGTCAGAGGTACTCATCAGGTCAGTTCAAGCTCTACTGATCGTATGTCCCTACTAAGATTTGTCTGGACATGTTCAAAGAAAGTGCATGCTGATTGGCTAGCTTCAAAAGCTACTGTAGGTCCTTTGGTGACTGCCTGTATGAAGGCTGCTGTTTTTGAAAGTGTCTAGAGCCTCCCAGGCTGTCCAAGCCTTTCTCTGTGGACCAGCATTGCGTGGTCTGTGGTCCGTGTACTTCTCATTGACCCGCATGGCGTGGCCACGCCATGTCTTTTGCGTTCTCAGCCACTGTCTTGTGAGAGGCCGATGGGACCACCTCCACACATGTGGCGCCCGTGTGGATGCTCGGAGAGGGCATGGTCCGAGAGAGCTCTTCCCCGAAGGTGAACCTCAACTCAACAATGCCTTTTTCAGCTGCTTGCCCGGCTTGCCCATAGAAAAGGTCAGAAGAGAGAGGATGAGGTCCCAAGGTGGGGAAAGATGGATGACTTGCAATCTTGGACTAACCATAGTGAAACCATCCACCAAACCAAGGCCACTTGATCGGTGTACTTGCTCAAGCCAGCCTCGCTGGCTTGGTCCAACACCGTCCAGTCCACATTCGCAGTTCTTTTCCATGTAGCCTTTTTCCATGGGCTTCCAACACCCTCCAAACGCCTTCGCAAAAACGATGGCCTCCAACCTACTTCCTCACAAAATGCACCTTCCAAAGCCCGTTTTCTTCGATGAAAGGATCGCCTTCTTCGACTCACCAGGCCTGACCTGCCGCCGCCCCGGGCCCCCGAGCCGGGGCGCTCGCTTTTTGGTCGCAGCAGAAACAGAGGTGATCAGGAGTGTGGTGGGAGCTCAAAGAGATCGAACTGTGGTGAATCCTTTGTAAGGAGAGCTGGAAATAGCTTGTTTGTTTTAAGTTTCGGGCATTTTTGTGATAACCCAAAGCGACAAACGAGTTTCCACTTGATGAGGGGGCATTCAGTCTCACAGGAGAATCCCTAGAATGAAACCGAGTCTCACGGAGTGGGCTGCATTGACCCTTAGAGAATGAGGGAATGAACGGACCTGTGTAGATTCCCAGGATCGGGCAGTCTGAGATCAGCCTGGCAGGATGTTTCTTCGAAGCCAGACCCCGCAGTTTTTCCATGACAGGACACTTGAATCGCGGATGAGACACCCCCGATGGCCTCCAACCTGAGGCCGCGATGGCCTCCACCCAGTCTACCCCTTGCGACCACACCTAAGGGCCACTTAAGGGCCACCTGCTCTGCCCAGGTGGGCTCCGGCCCCGGCTGCTCCTGCGCCAGCTGCTTCCGCGCCGGCTGCTCCGACCAAGACGCATCGTCAGGACGCCTGCACTGTTTCACGGTTTGACGGTTTTGCTCACCCTGCACTGTGGTTGTCGTCTTCCCAAAAGGGGTTCTGCTGAATGTACATGTTGGCTTCGTAGAGCGGCTTTCAGAATTGTTAGACTTTCAGCCCATAGCTGGTTGTCTTTTCGGCAGGAGATCATATGTTCATTTAAGGCTATACACTCTGTCTCTTAAACTGGCAGTTGTTGTGTCCCATTCTTAGCATTCCACATGTTGGGGCTGGTTGGCACACCAGTCTTTATTGCTGCGAACAGCCAGTCAGCTGCGCATCCAGTGTGTCCGTTCGAACCAGCACTTTTACCACACACGGCCCGAACAAGCCCCGTCCTCCGCGTGCCAGGAGCGTCGTCAGAAGAAAAACCAGGAGGGCGGCCCGGGCGGCCAGGGCGGCAAGCCACCACCCATCGAACGTGATCGAGGCGGTGCGCGAGATCGGTCCGATTGGTCTGACACGACCGGTGCGGCACCGAGCGGGGCGGGGTGGTGAGGGCGAACTGAGGAAGATCCTCGGATTCGGTGAGGATGTCCTCCATCCATTGGCGGCGTTTGCTTCTTGATAGGTGGTTGGTCAAAGGAGTTTCCAAAAAGAATGTAGAAGAATGCACAATGCACCACAAGGATTTCGGTTGTTTGTGCGGGTGTGCTGTGCTGTGAGAGCTGACCGGGACACCGGAGAACGAATGAATAGTCTTCACTTCCGTCTGCAAACGAATCTTCCGATGAGCCAAGGCTTTTTCGACAACTTGCCTGCAGATGCCAAACTGACCTCTTGAAAGTTGTGCAAATCATTGGTCGAAGAAGGGAACACTTTTCATTACCGCTACAAGCAAGCTCTTTGTCATACCAACAGCAAGTGCCCGACTCTGATTTTCTTAAACATACAAATTGTTTGAGCCTTTGGTTGTGAGTTGTGATAAATTGCACTTGGATTGATACTGTCGTATCAGGCTGGAGCTGTTGCTGACCTTAGACTTAAGCCTTGCAGGTGGCCCAAGACTGGATTCCATTTGTACAGACTCAATTCGCACAGATGTCAGACGAGGAGTTCCCCATGACTGGTGGCATGGGCGACATGGGTGATGACAGTGACATGGACATGCCAAGCGGCCTTCCAGAGGGCGTGGAGAAGGAAATCATCACGGATGCCCCAGCTGGCAACTACAAGCAGCCCAAATCGGGCGATGAGGTCACAGTGCACTACGTGGGCACTTTGGCCTCTGATGGCTCCCAGTTTGACAGCTCCCGATCTCGGGAGAAGCCCTTCAACTTCACCTTGGGGAAGGGAGACTTGGATGCGTTGGTGACTGCAATTCGGTGTTGATCAGAACTTCCAACGGTTGAATTTTCGACTGAAGACTTGGTGACCCGAGCAATCGAGGGGCGACAGCAGTGTTTGACCATGTTTGATCGGGTCTCATCGAACAGTTCACCTCCCCTCGCCAGGTCAAGTGATCAAGGGCTGGGACTTGGGCGTGGCCACCATGAAGAAGGGGGAAGTCGCCAAGTTCACCCTCTCCCCGGACCGGCGGAGAGTTGGGCGGTGGGTGAAAAACCAAAGTTTTTTTTGATGGGCTGGGCTTTCGGGTTGGGCGTGTGGGTCAGGTGGAGTGCGGTTGATGGGCGGTGTGGTTGATGAGCTGGTTCAGCCCATTATCCAGATAGGACCTGATGGACTGATAGGACTGATTTTGCAAAATGTCCACATACATCCGCATAAACCCACATAAAATCGCAATGTTCACATAAATCCATAGATATCTTCCCCTAGCCACCCCCAAAGTGACTCGACGCCACATTCTGCCCCTTTCGTCCCTTTGTCCCCTCCGTGCTGGCAGGACTACGCCTATGGCGCCAGCGGGTCCCCCCCTGCGATCCCGGAGAATGCCACGCTGGTCTTCGAAGTGGAGCTCATCGACTGGGTCTCCAAGGACGACCTTTTTGGAGATGGAGGGGTGATCCAACTCCAGGCGTGGATGGGTGGAGGGTGGGTGGAGGCTGGGTGGCTTGTTTGGGCGAGATGTGGATGGAAGACTGGACAGGGATCTAAAAGGAAGTTCCAAATCGCAAGATCCTCTTCGGCCAGTAGAGGTCGGCAACATATTATCACAATTTTTGAGAAAGGTCTTACCAACCATTATCATCCATGTTCAACGATACTTTTCCCTTTTGTGTTCACTGGACTTGTTTTTGCAGATCTGTGGTCTTTTTTCCTCAGCATATCCCGGAGTGGACATGAATTGGATGAAGAAAAGGAATGCCTCGGAATGAAACCCCTATGAGTTCGGCTTCGGACATGGTGGTTCGGACATGGTGGATGGCTCATTCTTGCGGATCCACTCACCTTTTCAGGTGGCAGAGGGCAGTGGCTGGAAGTCGCCAAAAGAGGACAGTGAGGTGAGACTTTCTTTGAAGGCTTTGAACATGGATGGCAGTCTCATTGAAGACAAAGGTGCTTCGGCCAAAGACCGATTTCTCTCTTTTTGGTGAAAGACATGGCCAATGTGAACCCCCTTACAAAAACAACAGCATCAGTTTCTGAAGATGTGCTTTCTAGCCATACAAGGGGGGTCTTCAGAATTTGTAGCCATACCTGGATGGTATGACCGCGTGCGTTGGTGCCATCCCTGGCTCCCGATGTTTGTCGATCCGAGGCTCCATGGAGTATGTCATGGGCTCCGAGATCTTGGGGATCTGGGGCAAGACAGTGGAGAAGGCCCTGTTGAAGATGAAGAAGGGTGAAGAGAGCAAGCTCACCTGCAACAACTCAACCTATGCAGGCGACAGCCATCCTGATGGCCTTGTGCTGGAGCTGAAGTTGGAAGAGGTTTTTGAGGTGACGGATGTCTCCCCAGCCAAGGACAAGTCCATGATGAAGAAGCAAATCAAGGAAGGCGCGAGGTGAGTGCTTTCGCAGTCTGTGGGTTGGGAGCCCCAAATCACCCTAGACCGGAAGAAGGACTCGGACAGGCGGTAACACTACCTCAGGACCTCTCCAACACAAGCCTTCCCCCCAAAAAGAGCATTTAACCTGCACCCTGAACAGCAGCCTTTTCAGACAGAAAGATCCACGGCAATACTTTTGGCTTCCTAGGAGCAAGGACGCTACTAGGGGCTCCTGGCCATACTACTAGGAGCAAGAAGCTACTAGGGGCTCCTGGCATCGCTACTAGGAACAAGAAGCTACTAGGGGCCCCTGGCATCGCTACTAGGAACAAGAAGCTACTAGGGGCTCCTGGCATCGCTACTAGGAAGAAGAAGCTACTAGGGGCTCCTGGCATCGCTACTAGGAACAAGAAGCTACTGGGGGCTCCTGGCATCGCTACTAGGAACAAGAAGCTACTAGGGGCTCCTGGCATCGCTACTAGGAACAAGAAGCTACTAGGGGCTCCTGGCATCGCTACTAGGAACAAGAAGCTACTAGGGGCTCCTGGCATCGCTACTAGGAA